CCAGCAGATCAGAGTGAAAAATCAAGGAGCTGAGGCAGTACTACCATAAGGTGAAGGAGGCAAGTGGATGGTCTGGTGCAGCACCTAACACATGTCGCTACTATGAGCAGCTGGATGCAATTTTGACTGGGGTGCAGGGGAAAGCCAGCTTCCCCAATGCGGTTGTGCAGTCAAGCCTAGACACACCTGGCATCAGTCTGCAGGACAGCGTGATGGTGGAGAGGGAGGAGACTAGCCAGCAGTGATCCCCAAGAGCTAAGAACTGGTCATGATGCTGAAGCCAGTCCCCTCCTCCCAGGATGTCTCTCAATCCAGCACCTACCCAGAGGAGATCACTTTTGGAGAATTCACAAGTTTTGTCTAACTGCAAGCGGGTTCAGGCAATGGGGTGTGAGGTGCAGCATGCTTTCTGCCTACAAAGTGCAGGGGGCCCAGAACAGCTTATTAATGTGCCTGCAGAGGGAGTGGGAGTCTTGCCTGCATAGCTCCATGAAGCTCTCACATAGGAACTCTTTAAACCTTCTCACAAGGTTTTTGGGGAGGCCAGCCTTATGCAGTCCTCTGCAGTAGGACACCTTCCCATGCCAAGCCACCAGTAAGTGGTCTAACATCAATGAAACACAAAGTATTACAGCATACGCCCAGGTTTATGACCACATTCAGTGAGCATCCACTCCCGATCACTCTGAGTTTCAGAGAAGATTGATATCTCGCATGGCAACATGGAGGGAGGAGGAGGGGAACCAATTAGCACTCTCCCCAGGAAGCTATGTGTGCCAGACACACATCCCCCCCCCCCCCACCTCCCTGCAGATAGGAAAAAAAACCAGTGTCCCTGGGAAGCATCCCATTCCCCCCTGCCCCACCTGCAGGTTCCTGCCCTGTCTGGGAAAGCAGCACTGTCCTGGGAAGCCACATATGGTGGACCAGGTTTGTGCCAGACACAGCGGGAAGTCACCCTTCTTCCATTCCCCACTCCTGCCTGCAGGCATCTGCCCTGGCTGACTAATTACCATGACTGTCTGCTTCTAGACAAGTGCATCCTGATGCTCCCCTGGGAACTCTAGGCACCTGCTGGAAAGTACCTGTTTTGAAGTGAACATTTGGCCTTGAACGGAACACATCTCCTTTGTCTTTACAGAGACCTTCGGTGTAGGCTAACAGATATGGGGTAGGCTTAACACAATGTAGCTGCTGTAAAGTCTGCCCTTGTAATTTTTCTTTGCAGCTGGGACAACTGCCACCTCGGTGCATCCTCCACCTCTTACAACATCTGCCCACCTGGCTCACATCTGCAGGTGAAAGTGGAGAAGGGAGAACATATTCAGTGAGCAGATGGACTGCATGCACCTCCATGTGGGCAAGATGTGGGCAGAGCACCTGGACCAAATTCCAGAGCAGCATGAGCAAACAGCCATCAGGGAGCAGCAGGCAAGACAGCAGAAGACCATGTTTGCCTCCCTGACCACTGTGATGGAACACCTGACTTCATGTCTAGAAAGGGCCTCCTTCGAGAACCCCATCCACCTTGATGACAACCCTGATGCCTTCTCCTCCAGCCCCATTACTTCCACCACCAGGGTCTCCAGGGACTTCTGGAGCTCCAGGACGTAGGTGGGGAGGGGAACTCAAAGGCAACCGTATCCTCCAGGATCTCGGGAGACAGAACGCAGTCCCACTCGTATTCCTGAGTCCCCTTGCCTTTGGGTTCCTACTTCTTTCCCTTCTGTTTTATTGATGAGCTGCGATCTACATATACCATGATAAACTGAGGCCGATTCTGTTAGAACCTTCCATCTATGAGATCTAAACTTCACACAGCAACTAACAAGGAAGAAAAAAATATGGCTGTTCGTACTAACATTAAATTTGTTCCACATATTGCAGACGCTGTCTATGAGAGTAAACGACTAAGCAGATTGTCCTACAATTTTTCTAAGAATGTGTGAGAATTGCTATGTGGGCATGCTTTTGTTATTATAGCATTCTGTAAGCCGTTTACATGTAAGAATGAAGAGTGTGAAGAAGGCCTGATGTGGACAGAGGAGCGTAAGACCACAGCAGTAAGCAATAAAGTTTTTTTTTTTTTAAATAGGACATTAGTACAGTATGTGCTTTTGTAAACTGCTAGCAATTACCCACGGCACAGCAAACATTTATTTTGAACACCAAAATGACAGACAAAGCATTCTTCTGCTGATCCCTTATTCGATCCATAAAAACAAAAACATATTTCTCCTCCTGCAAGGGCCTATATGATCTTGCCTTGAGTAATCTGAACCTACAGATACTGTGTAGCAGGCAGCATTACATGTAACTGTTCAAAAGAACACAGCATAAAATGACTCAACAAAAAAGACCCCATGCCACCAAATATATTTCATCTGTTAAAATCTTGATAAAGAGAATGTTTGAGAAAATACACAGAAGAGCTTTGGGACTCTTAATTGTGGACCTCCCAGTGAAGCCCTAGCAAAAACAATAGCCAAGGAGTACCTTTAACTGCCATAGAATACCAATCTTCCTCATTTCTAGGGTCTTCTCTAAGCCAGTGCACAAGTGCTGTATTACCAAAAAAAAAAACCCCCATTTATCTTCTATTATTAAAATATTTCACTTGTGCATTTTGCCTGGAAAGAGAACAGGGTAGTGGGAAAAACACTAATAATTTAGTACGAAGAAAGAGTTGATGTGTATAACATCTGTTTCTACACATTTAACAGTTAGTGTCAGGTTTACAGCACATTTTTTTCTAAAACTAGACAAATTAGTTCTTGGAAGTAAATACCACATATATTAAACAGCTCTAAGCTACTGAATACTGTACCCTTGGTTACTAGTCTATTTACTTTTTCTTTTTGTCTGTCTATAATTCCAGGGCTAACATGGACTGCAGTTTCTTAGAGGCACAACAACATATACTTATTTAGATAACATTTTCTATCTAACATGAGCTTGTAGAGATTAGTTAAGTAATACCACAGGACATTGTTTATTTCCAACAACATTTGCATGATAGATCCATTTAAAAGGCAAGATTCCTGAGAAGAAAAAGATAAAATATTGAAAGATCATACCTTCACCTGATGATCCAGAAAGATCTATGATGACATATACTCTTCCTTCTGGCTCCAAGTCAATCTGTAATTGAAAAGAGAATGAAAAGGTACACTTACATTTGTGCTCCCTTAATGAGCTATTATATGCACCATTAATACAAGGTTTTCATTGTCTCTTAAACCCTAAGCCCTGAACTGAGCGGTGCACAACATTTGAGAGTTAGGGCACTGGGCTAGTCCCAGGGGAAACAGGGAGAGAGCACCACCCACCCACCCTCTGCTAGGGTCTCACCCCAGCTGCAGCTCTGGCCCCACGGTTGCATCTCCACCACTAAGCCCTCTCCCAGCCTTTGTCTCTGTCTGCTACCCCCAGCCCTTACTCCTATTCACATCCCCTTCTCCCTGCGCCCTTGGAGCCATGGCCTGGCTCCCAAACCTGGCTCAGGGGGGTGGGCACAGCACTGAAAAGTATGACCATCACTGCCCTAAAGCATGTCAGCATTCACAGAGCAAGTATCATGTTCTCATCAAATCTGACCCTGCTAAGAGCTGAGCACGTTTATGAGGTGCTAAGCATCCTCAACTCACACCAGAGTTAAGGGGCCTCCAGGTTGATTCCTGGTGTGCTTTACAAATCCAATAAGCCATTTTAGTAATAAGCTTTCTCAACTCTCCTCCATAAATTTTAACTACTTCTCTCAAGGACTGAAAAATCATTTTAAAGGGAAAACTCTTAGCTGTAATTTACATTATAGTCAGGTATGCAATGAGGAAAGTATACTTCTAAACTATTCATATTCGGAACAGACACAGATGAATTCTGGTTGCAGAATACGGGGAATTAATGCGAAAAGCTTCATTACCATTAACATTTGTCTGGAAATTTGTTGTTATATCAGACTGAAAAACTGAAACGCTCCAATAAAGAGATAACTGTATTCCATCAGGCTAGCTTGCCTTTATTATATACACTGCCTTGCATTCATTATAATCTGCTTTTATTATATTCAGTAGTAGAATCATAGAATCATAGAAGGGACCTTGAGAGAGCATCAGTTCCAGTCCCCTTATCTCATGGCAGGACCGAGCACCATCTAGATCATCCCTGATGAATGTCTAACTAGCCTGCTCTTAAATATCTGCAATGATGGAGATTCCACAACCCATGTACGCAATTTATTCTAGTGATTAACCACCTAGATAGTAAGGAAGTTTTTCATAATATGCAACCTAAACCTCCCTTGCTGCAATTTAAGCCCATTGCTTCTTGTCCTACAGGCCTGTACCCTATAAGACACTGGCTTCAGCCATTAGCGTGAGACTTGAGGCCCATGAACTTTAGATATATAGAAAGATTCCCATAGTGTGAGTGTTGCAGCTGTGCCCACTGGGATTCCCAATTATACAGTAATTTTAATATTGGGGCTTGGGACAAGAAGCTGTGTCACACCCACTCCCAAAGCGATAATTGGAAATTCATAATTAAACATATAATTATGGACCTGTCCCGTGAAACTGTGATTAACTTTGCTACTTGGATGATGGATTTCAATGGGAACTGAGGATGCTCAGCACCTTTCAACATAGGGTTTTTAAAAGAAGATCCAATTGGCTGTAGATATTGGATGGCACAGGTCTTGATAGATACTATACTGATGAATGCAGTATAAATGCCTAGCTAGATACTATATAGCATTGTTCATTTCATCATTGGCTCTGACTTTTACATTTTGTATGATTATCTGAAAGCACATTATATGGACAACTTTTGTGATTTACATCTCTTTTCCTAAAACTTTAAAAAACTTTCAGAAAAAAAGCTAAGGAAAGAGAAAAATGTCTCATTTAAGTATATGAATATACAACATAACTAATGGCTGTTCCATTAAAATCTCATGGGGATGCAGAAGCATGGTGTTTGGAAGCAATGAATTATGGGCTATATTTTATGTTTTTCCTACTTGATTATAGAAGACTGCACCAACACCTACCTGCATGGCTGTTTAGGATCTACTGGGATCATGGTGAATAAGATGGGAGCAAAGGAAAGAACAGAGATGCATGACCTATACAACTCCCCCCCCAAGCAAGTGGGCAGAGCACAGTGGGGAGGAGGTGAAAACATGGCACTTTCCCAACCATGTACTAGCCATGGATGGAGAGCAGGAGAAGGGGAGTAAGCTTTATTGTGTAAGGGCTGACACTTCTCGCTACCCAGCACAGCAGAGGTTCAATGCCTTCCTGGGGTGACAACTATGCACTTTAACAGACTTCAGGCATCAGTTCCCAAATACATTTACAGGCAGTCCCCGGGTTACGTACAAGATAGGGACTGTAGGTTTGTTCTTAAGTTGAATCTGTATATAAGTGGGAACTGGCGTCCAGATTCAGCCGCTGCTGAAACTGACCGCCAGTT